AGTAAACGCTGTCCAGCCGGTGACTCGAATAATGCCAATTAAACTGGCACAAAACCAGTTCACTTACCGTTTTCTTCATGCCTTTTTTTTTGCAGTAGCCGCAACACCATCACCAGCAGCCCAGCACCTGTGAACACCTTTGAAATCTGCTGACTCTTTGCTGGATTTCTGGTGGCAGTCGCCTCACCTCACATACGGTGCCAGAGCCATAGTTTATAGGCTTTGCTGCCGGGCCTGACCTTGATACACATAAATTATTGTTCGCACTGCGGCCTTTCTTGTAAGATAATAACGAAATATTTTTGTACACCCGTTGAACTATTTTTAAGATCATACGGCAAAGTAAAAGTCAAGGGAGGTGACCAATGAAGTATTAACTAGGGGCGTGTCGAAGATCGTTATTTTAAGTACTTAATAATACTAAATAATAAAAACAAAATCACAGAATTCTGAAAAGTCCTTGCAGAGCAAGTTGTCATTCTCCTACAGTAGAGTTTTTTTAAAGAAAAGTTATTATAAACCATTGCCTTAGATAAACTGCCATGACAAATTATTTTATAACAAGATTTTAAAACGTCTTAAGGTAAGAATTCAACAAACTGGTAAGCTTCTAAAAAAATTCTTTATCTTTGTCCTCAAAATCGGATTAAATCCGTATAAGCCGATAAGAACCCACGAAAGATAAACGCTTGATTGGATTTTTCGCTTTTTTTGGTAGCCTATTGTTGTTTTTTGTTTATTGTTTACACCTAAACTTAAACTCAAATGTAAATTTTGTCCAAAGGGCCGAGACGACGTTTGGTGGGTGATGGATGGATGGCTGGAGGATGGCTGATGTGCGGTGTTGTGCGGCCTTCCAACGATTCAATGTTCCGTGATGAGTGCCAATAGGTGTTCTGGCCAGGGCAAGCCCTGATTGAGCCCTAGCTTTTGGTTCTTGGACGGATCCGGGCTGTCATCATTAACAACTGGATGTTGATTTGGGATGTAGAAACTTTATTATTTTAGTAAGCAGCTGCAAGGCCGATACAGAAAGGAAAAATCTGCAAAATAATTGAGCTTATCAGTAAGCAGTAGAAATTCATTGAAGGGGAATATAAAATATGGAAATACACATATAAAGTGCTTTATTAATAAATTCTTTATGCACACTATTGAAAAACCATTGCATAACTAATTTAGAATGTGTTCTCAGTTATGTTGGAAACATATTTAATATGCCACTAACATTTTTTAAAGTTTTCACAGCACTACAATGAAATGTAATATTTTCTAGGCCTTTTCAAAATACAGAATCACATTATTCACAAATAATTACCTTCACATCTCTGTCATTTGAAGGTCTGCATGCAGGCTGAATCCTGAAGAAAGATATCCAAAGTCGAGTTTTTGATGGTTTTATTGGTCTGACTGACCCCAAGGCGCGATCGCAAGCTGCTCCTGATCCTGAACCTCTCGGACTCAACACAAAACACTGAATGAGCCAACTAGGAGTCCCTGGTCTCCTTTTATACGAAAGCCGCGGATCGAAAGCCTGTTTACCCCTGTTGAGGTTCGACGATCCTTCAACTCACTTCACCGGGTTTGTTTTCTGGCTTTTTTCCCTGTTCTCTTTGTTTTCCTTGGGCTTGTGCTTTCTGTTTTTGTCCGGTTGCATTGTCAGTTTGCATTGTTGTTGGCTGCTCTCTGGATGATAATGACGATGGTGAAGTTGAGAAGGGTTTCGGCTCCGTATCGACGACGATAAGCACCCGAAATCAGAAATCTTCCACTTGATTAGTCGGACTTTGGCTTGGAAAAAGGGTGATGTCGAAGGAAGCAGTTGGCTAGCTGAGATTACACACAGAGTCTGACCTTGAGGGGCCCCTCCAGAACTCTGAGTTCAGAATCCAGAATTGTTCTTTAGAAAAACAACAGGTGTGCGCTGTCTAGCCCTCCAAAAGTTTATTTTTCTAGTTAAGGCTGTGGGAAAATGCAGCCTCGAACTAGGAACAAACTGAATTTTAATGTTCAGCTCCCCCGATGAGTTGTAAGACCATTTATCACCCGGCAAGTAGAGTCATGACCCCATAATTTCCGTTTTATATTACAAAGATCAACACAAAGGGACTCTCTTTGCGTTGCGGTAGACGAGTCCTTCCATTCAAATGGAAATGACCGACACAAAGCCCAGAACTTTGTCTGTCCCTACAGACAGACAGAGGGACTGGGATCAGGATCCGTTTGGGTATCGGAATCATCAAGCAGGCCAACGCAGTTCGTTGCCCTGGCAGCATCCTTAAAGGATCGCGAAACAAAGGTCCAGACTGCACCACCAAAAGCACCACATGAGTTGCATTGCTCTAAGACTGCAGCACTTCTGCGGCGGGGATCGCTCCTATGATGTCTGTGAACTTTTCGCAAATAAAAGGCCAAATAACTCGTTCTGAAAACAAGCACATAAATAATGCAAACCAGAACAGGACAATGTGAACGACCTCTGAGAGCCCTTTGCCAGATTTCTCCTTCTGAATAAACAACTCAAGACACTCTTGTTTTCATGATATGTCTACATACTTGTATGCATTTTTTTATTGGTGCTGTCAATAAATAAATGTACAGTAATAATAAAGCCAACAATTATATACAACGTCGATCTCGGCCAGGACTTAGTGGTGGTAGGCCACGGCGGGAGCGGAGTAGGAGGTGTAGGTGGCAGCTGGGGCGGCATAGTGGGCGGGGGCGGCGTAGGAGGCGTAGGCAGCGGGGGCGGCGTAGTGGGCCACTGGAGCCACGGTCTTGACCACGGCGGGGGCAGCATAGTGGGCCACGGGAGCCACGGTCTTCACGACAGCAGGGGCGGCGTAGGAGGTGTAGGCAGCGGGGGCGGCATAGTGGGCAACTGGAGCCACGGTCTTCACAACAGCAGGGGCGGCGTAGTGGGCCACAGAGGGGGCGGCGTAGTGGGCGACGGGGGCGGCGATGGTCTTCACAACCGGGGCAACGGCGACGGCCTTGACGAGGGGCTCACGGTTCACCACGGCGTTGAATCCGTTGATGGGGTCGGCGGTGTACTGCACGGTCCTCTTGTAGCCGTCGGCGTCGATCAGGGAGTACTCCCCGCGGACCACATCTCCGTCGCGCTCCTCCACCTGCCCCTTGTTGTCGCCGGTCAGCTTGTCGTCGACTCCGTACGAGAAGCGGTACTGGGGGTGGGGGTCGTACTCCTCGGCGGCCTTGACCACGACCTTCTGGGCCACGGCGACGGGGGCATGGGCGTAGGTGGCCACCGCCGGGGCGGCGTGGTACAGCTGGGGGGCGGCGATGGGGGCCTAACCGGCGCTGGCCACGGCGACGAAGGCGAGGGCGAACACGAACTGGAAGGAATGATCGTTAGGGTTCATCCAGAACTTCTAGGGGGCAATGCTGATGCCGATCCCGGATTCCCGTTGAGGTGACTCACCTTGAAGGCCATTTTGCTTGGAGTGCTGATTGGTAGTTCTTTACAGAAGTGAACTGGATCTGCGAATGATACTTTTCTGGGCCAGATCGACAACTTTTATAGTAAATCAAGTCGCCAGCTCTGCTCTGCTTTGGCCCAATCCGCTGACAGCGAGCGTTATTTCGCGGTGACAGCGAAATACATTTAATGTTTCTCGACTGCGATTGTTGTCGGGCAATAACTCGTACTTCCTGTTCGTGGCGCTAAGCTCTGTGGGTGTGCAAATTCTCTGGGCCGCAGATTCTAAGCCCGTCCGCACCAAAAGAGTGAAAGATATCCGGCGAAAGGTATGCTTCAAAACAAAAGGGCTTGGCCCGGCTTAATGTATGGCTAATTATTTGACTAGATTGCTCGGCAACAAATGGTTTAATAAAATTCACTGTATTTTTGACGTTTCTTCATACAGAAAAGTAAGCAAACATCTTATTTGGCTTGTTTTATATTTACCTTCTCTCCATATTCTGAGCGTAAGCTCTCTTATAATCTCCTTAAGAAATAGATTAAATGATAAATATTCAAACTGTTTTGTAATCTTATTCATGTTATGTAACTTTCTGGTTGTGCGCGAAGAAGGTTGAACGAACTTTTGTTGAGATATTTTTAATGATTTATTAGGTATCATACACGAAATTGTAAGAGTTTCCATAAATATTCTGAATAATTAATAATAGCTAAAAAAACTATTATTTGTTAATGTGTTAACCTCATTGTTATTATTATTACTTTAAGCTTTATAAAAAGGTATTTAATAACAAACTATGTATATATTAAAATGTTGACTTGAAATTTATTAATTTGTATATTAATCTTAATATTCAAACTTTTTAAAAAGGTATTTAATGTCAAACTATATTTTACAATGTAGACTTGAAATTTAATAAGGTGCAAATAGTAAGACGTATTATAAATTAAATTTGGTTAGATTTTACCCATGGCTTATTTATTGCCCTCTCTGATTACAAAGTTGAGAATATTTTACCTTATATGTAATTTCAGGATGAAGGCACCTCAATCATTTTTATGATTTTCTTTACAGATGATTTAACCTTTTTAACGTCGAATCTAGAGAATCACTCCTTCATTCCAATTATGTCAGACACATTTCGCCACTTGCGCAATTCGCGGGAGTCAAGGCCACCCAGCGTTAACACACATCCCATATCCCACATCCCATCCTTTACAGATCTGCGATTAATGGGACCGACTATTAGCAGATGCATTCACTTCACAACCACCAATTCGTACGTGGGCACCTGGCAGAAGGGAAATCCCGCGCGAATCCGCCGAATCCTTTCTAAATAATTGGACTGCAGTCGCCATCCGCCAATCGCTTCTGCTCCTCGACCCTCTGCCGACTTCTCGGCCGGCGTCGCAGTTGACTTCGCAGAGCGGTGACTTCGCGCTAATTCGGAGCTTGATATTCAGAAGGCCAAGCGTAAGCACCTTACCTCACTCGCGCAGAAAGTGCAAGCGAGGGCTATAAAACCGCTGGCCGGGCCAGAAGCCCCATCATTCAGCCCTCAGCACCGTTTCTGCAAAGAACCAGCCCACCAACCAAAAAAAATAAACTCCTAAAATGGCATTCAAGGTGAGTCCGTCCCACATCCTTTAGCGGAGTCAATCTTAATATCATTCCTTGCAGTTCGTGTTCGCCCTCGCCTTCGTCGCCGTGGCCAGCGCCGGTTACGCCCCCATTGCCGCCCCCCAGCTGTACCACGCGGCCCCCGCGGTGGCCACCTACGCCCACGCCCCCGTCGCTGTGGCCCAGAAGGTCGTGGTCAAGGCCGCCGAGGAGTACGACCCCACCCCCCAGTACCGCTTCTCGTACGGAGTCGACGACAAGCTGACCGGCGACAACAAGGGGCAGGTGGAGGAGCGCGACGGAGATGTGGTCCGCGGAGAGTACTCCCTGATCGACGCCGACGGCTACAAGAGGACCGTGCAGTACACCGCCGACCCCATCAACGGATTCAACGCCGTGGTGAACCGTGAGCCCCTCGTCAAGGCCGTCGCCGTTGCCCCGGTTGTGAAGACCATCGCCGCCCCCGTCGCCCACTACGCCGCCCCCTCTGTGGCCCACTACGCCGCCCCTGCTGTTGTGAAGACCGTGGCTCCAGTTGCCCACTATGCCGCCCCCGCTGCCTACACCTCCTACGCCGCCCCTGCTGTCGTGAAGACCGTGGCCCCCGTGGCCCACTATGCTGCCCCCGCCGTGGTCAAGACCGTGGCTCCAGTGGCCCACTACGCCGCCCCCGCTGCCTACGCCTCCTACGCCGCCCCTGCTGTCGCCTACCACCACTGAGAACTGACATCCCCACTCCCAAATCCCTTATTGTTATAGTTTTACGAACGACCCCTAAAATTAAACCAATATTTGTCATATAAACCGTTTATTTCACTCGTTCACTGTATCCGGCTATAAGGATACATTTGGCCTGAGGCCCATTTCCATTCAAGATTTGAATACGATTTAATTAATTTTGCCTCATGAGGGCTCAATTCGAATTGGTGTTTGGCCATTTAATTAAGTTTGGCTGCGACATTGAAATTCCAAAGTTAGGGTTTTAAAGTCAAATTGAATTTTTTCTTTCAATCGTTCCATTCCATTTAGTGCTCCATTTGCTACACCCGCTACGATTCGATTCAGCTCTGGAAATTGACCAATCCTATCAGCAAATAATAAATCATATTTGGATTGATGTGAAGTATGAATGCTTATATAAGTATGTCACGGATATAACTTTGGCAACTTAAGAGTAGTGGTTTTAGCACGTGGTCATGGTTCCGGTTGGTTTTTTTTTGCAAGTCTTGCCAAAACAGTTTGTGGTCCGCTTTTCCCATTACGATTTTTCTTCTTACTCCCATTTATAATTCTACCATGACGCGGTAGAATGGAAAGCACTAGAAACTGGTTTGTCCAGCGGTCAGACTCAGGTTACCCAAGATCTTTTATTGGTGTAATCTCTAAATTTCCATTTATTTTTTATCAAATGTGATTAATACACTAAAACGTTTTTACGTCGTTGTGTTGGTCAAAGTTCCATATTCGTTAGAAGCACTACAATTTCTGCTTCTATATTCTATAAAAAATGGATAAGGTAATAAACTTAACATTACAGACTCGAATTATAGACTCGAAATGCGAAAAGGCTAACATTTGTTTCTGCACTAAACTGTCGATTTAATTTTGTAGACTAGTAATAAACAAAAATCTAAATAAATAAATAGTAAACTATATAAATATACACATTTATAAAAGGGCAAAACAAATATTATGTAAGAATTATTTAAATAAAAAATAAATTGAATAAATAAATAATAAAATATGTAAAATAATTATAAAAGTATAATTTGAAATTACGGGTTCTGATTTTGACTGAAATTTGATTGAAATTTTCTTTACCCTTTTAAATGGGATATAAGATGTATAATATATTTCGAGCACATCCCAGAGGTCCCTAACTCTGCCAAACCGCTTAAAAAATAATGTTCCCTTCTTATATTTAATTAAGTGCTTTGAGATAAGTAGTATAAGTTTATCTGAACTTCGAAATAGTGGTTTTCAACAATTCAATCAATGTTATTCTCGAATCTCTCTTTCACATAATGAGATAAAATACTGAGCCGTGGATATTTAGAGCCAATGACCATTATAAAATGGTTTTCTGCCATTTCATCCAACATGATTTTCAATTACTACTTTAAAGCTTTAAAGAGCTAGAGATCAAAGCGACGAGAATACTGCATCGTTAATGCTAAAAAACGTACCTAACTTCAGCATTATCATGGAGAAGAAGCCTTTAAAATGTTTAATGTAACCAGTATAAGAGGATTTGACCATATATCGGAATTCTCCACCAAAATACAAAACCCAAAGCTAAATTATCGAACGAACAGTAAAGCTTTAATTCCATTGCACAAAATCTTAAATACCAAAGAACCAATATATCTCTTTAATGAACTTTCATTTTCGGCGTCGAGAGGAAGAAGTTATCTCATCTTCTTCAGCTTTAATCTGGCCAAATCCAAAAAACAATTTTTTATTCAAGCTGGTCTCTTGTGGAATCAACTTTCAAACCAAGGCAAGGAGTTCAAAAATAAATTTGTTACATACATAATCAAAGTAAATAAGGAACGTTAAAAATAGATTATAAAATTTAAGTACGCAAAACATATATTTACATATTTAAGTTTAAATAGTTATGAAAAATAAAGTCAGCAGAATTTAGTATTTAATATGAAACTATTGAACATAGCCAACTTATATAAGTACAAAAATTTCTGATTGGCACGGTGTATATAAGCAAATAATTAATAAATATATTGAATTGCTCCACTCGTTAAAACTGGGATCGGGAAACGTCCAATCTCTGAAAGCTTTTAAAGGTCTGACGCAGAAAAGTAGGTTAATCCATTTTTCTGCAGGTCGGCTTACTAATCAGTCTTTTCTCCAAGATGTTGACGGAAGTCCACGCTTATTGTTATCCCTCGAGCCTAGATCTTTGTTATTTTGCACCAGAGGTTCCTTAAAAAATCACTTTAATTCTTTTATTTTATTAACTGCTATGAGATAGGGCTTAAAAGTTTTTCTGCACTTTTAAATAAGGGCTTTCAACAAATTTGTGTACAAATTGTTGTATGGGACTTCCCACTACTATCTGTCGTTCACATAAAGGCAAAGCTTTTAAAGCTACTGCGATTGTTATTTGATGGCTCTGTGATATAGCCTTAGCTGCAACGAGATTCTGATCAAACCGGTCGTACCATACTAATTTTAAGTACTTACGAAAAACTGCCTACAAAAGTAAGTAGCCCGAGTCACTATTAATAGCTGACTAAAAGCAAATATTCATATTAATGTGTCCCCTTATTTACTGTAATATTTCTTTAAGCCTTCTTAGTCTGAACGAATGTATTCAAGAAAGGGTTAATTCTTAATTAGTTTTTATTCTTTATCCTTACAAAGTTATCTAAGACAATTATATAATCATCATATTATAATCGTATTTATAATATATGTTTTTTAACATTATGGGAAAATGTGGAGCAACGCACAAACACGAAAAACATTGAAATAATTGAGAGTGCCTTAAGATTCTAAATCAAAATTCTTTTATAGAGAAATTGCACTTGAATCGTGAGCGATCCAAATATTTAGCTCTAGGTTTTCTTTAGGTTTTTATTTATTTTATTTTTACGTTTTGATTTAAGCTACTTCAGAAATATATACAAAACACAGTTAATAAAAGGTAATTCAGTATTTTATATTAATTGATTAGGACTTGCGTGAAAGTTTTTTCATTTTTCTAACTATGTACAATTTTTGTTCTTTTATTTCTAAATGGAATTTTCAAGATAGACATTCACTTTGACTTGAAGCCAAAACGAAATCGCGACAATTTCTATTTGTGTATCATAGAAACGGATCCTAGCCGTGGAATAGAGCTCCTGTTAAGATTTGAATCCTTAGCTTGCTATATACAGATATGTGCTACGGACAAAGTGCTTACGAGACTACGACACTGAATAGAATTACAAGACTCTCGCCCACTCGGCGAATTAGGCTAAGACATATTTACACTGGCCTCTGGCTCGCTTCCTACATGAACTAACTGAGTTGGTAGTACTCCGGCGCAAAGTCGTTGGCTAAATTGCTCAGGAAGTTGAAGTCCGAGCTGTTCGAGTTCTCCAGTCCACTGATCGCAGTCCCAGCTCCAGTCCCAGTCGCAGTGACCCCATTGTTGCCGAATCCCTGGCCCTGGCCAGGTGCTCCCCCGTTGAGGGCGAATCCGTGGATGTGCGATGGCGGTGCTCCAACTCCAACTCCAACTCCCACTCCCACGCCCACTCCCGCGGGAATCGCCGCAGAGTTGTGGTGGGCATGGACGTGGGCATGCGCCTGCGCCGGCACCTGCACGTGGTGGTGGGGGTGGTGTCCATGGCCGTGCCCGTGGCCGAGGGTGGCCGGACCAGGGGGCTGCTGACCCGCCTCGTAGTACCCACCCCCGCTGGCGGCGCCTCCGAAATTGTTGTAGCCCTCGCAGTTCTCCATCTGCAGGCCTAGAGCGCTGTATGTCTCTCCAGCGCCCAGGTGATGCATGTGCCTGTGGGGAGATAAATGGAGAAGGAGGTTTAAGCATACTAATTGCCGAGTAAAATATAGGGTTATAGACTACACTGAAGAAAACAAGAGCGATCCAATTTGTTGTTATGCAAGACCATTTTCATGATTTTATACGGCAATTTTTCTCTGTGTACAATGACGACGTGGACAACTAATAATACTGATAGCTTATAAGCTTGTGATACTAAATTGCATGAGAACCGACGGAACTTAATAGATAAATTATAAATATGTTGAATTATAAGTGAATTAAAAACTTAAATTGACAAATTTGTTTTACAATATACCGCAAAATGGCCATAAACTTAAATAGAACAATTTTTTTGTTATATAAATATTTTTAAGAAAACTTTTTGTTCAAGAAATTGACCATTTACCTAAGCTTTATTGATCTATCTTAAAATGTATTAGGCCTGCAGCAATCAAGATAATTTTTCCGGGTGCGGCTAATTTACTTTCAAAAATTATCTAGTTAGTAGTTTGAAAATTATACTTTATCTAAACAAAAATGTGGCGCCATCTATGTGGCCATTAAACACACCAGTGCAAATGGTTCGCGCGTTGACTAGCTATCATCGAAGTCAAGAACCAAGTTATGTATTGACAACAGTGTTGAAAAGGATTTCACTTTGTGTAAGCAAAGACAGCAACCCTGTTAAGCCGTAGGTACGCAACATAACGTTCGAGTGTAAGTATTTTGTATAATATAAGTCATATTATACGAGTCGTGTGGGTCTGATTTCGGACGTGAGGCTTGGCAGCGCCACTTACGCACTTTTTCGTGATTCTTGTCGTATGCGGGGGATCGTGTTACGGGACTTTCTGCGCCTTATTTAAAGAGTTCCTAGTGCTTGGGCGCCATTTATAAAGTTTTTCTTTTACTAATAGACCTTCTGAAGCTAAAGTACTTGACCATGTGCACTTGCGGTTTGAAGTGGCCAGGCACTTGACACAGGATAATGATCCGGCCTAGAAAAGATAGTATTTGTCATAAGCCTGCCGGGGGTAACTAGTCCCACTTTTGTATGTACATTCGAACATTATTTGCAGTTTTTTTTTTGTATATTAAATTTATTTTATGTCCATTTAATAATAACATTCTCTTCTTTGAACTGCAATTTAGACTACAGTAGAATCCTGTTATAGCGACTTTTAAGGGACCGACGATTTTACGTCGTTATACCCGGAAGACGCGATAACCATATAAGTTTGTATCATATAAGTTTGTATGGCGACCAACCAAGCCATCGAGTTTTCGTCGCAATAACCGGACTGACATTATAAGCGGAGTCGTTATAACCGGATTCTACTGTATTCGATAAAGCATGATAACGCATTCAAAAAATGCACGATATCACTAAATAATCACTACTTTCATGAGTTTATTCTTCTTTTATTTGCTCAGCATTTTAAATTTAATCATTTAGTCATTTCTCTAAAAATAAGCGGTCTCAGAAGGATCGGAGTCAAATAAATTTAATTTAAATCCGAAAAAATGCGATCCCAAAAACATAAAGATTGCCTAATCGTTAATCAAAACTAATATCTACGAGTATCTTCCGGCCTGGCATAAATAAACCGATCGAATAAAATTAATTTAATTTAAAATTATCATGTTATTCTTATGAGTTGTTATACTCACTGGTGATTCACCGCCGCTTGCTGGTGCGGCTGCTGCTGCTGAAACACCACCGATTGGTGCTGGTGGGCCTGGGCCTGCTGTTGGAAACTCATGTTGTCGTAGTAGGCGCCGTTGTTGAAGTTGCTGGGTCCGTTGACGGGCGCCTCGAAGTCGGCCACATGGTGGTGTTGCTGCTGCTGGTGGTGCTGTTGGTGGTGCTGCTGCTGCTGGTGGTTCAAGTACGCACTGCCGTTGGTGTCGCTGTAGTTGTAGTAAAACTGATCCTGCTGCTGCTGCTGACTGTTTTGGTGGAAGTTGGCCGCATTTGGCTTGGGACTGAGATACTCGCCGTGCAGCGGCTGCTGCTTACTGTGCGGATTGTGGTGCGGCGAGGCGGCGAATTCGATGTCGTATTTGCCGTAATAGTCCTGCGGCTGCTGCTGCTGTTGCGGGTGCAGTTGCTGCTGCTGCTGCTGCAGTTGGTGCTGCTGCTTGTGACTAGGATAATAGCCTGGAAAGTAGCCGCCAGCTGGGCCACCACCACCACCCCCATTTCCATTCCCACTATTGCTGTCCGTCAGAGGCGTGGGCGTGGCAATGGCATTGGCGGCACTCTGAAAGCGTTTCTTGCCGCCCGCCTTACTGGCGGGAGCATTTCCGACGGCGGCGACATCCGAGTCCCTTCGAAAACTGACCAGACTGGGCGTGGAGTTCTCATAGCCGAAGGGCGAGGCCTTGGACGAAGTAGACACCGCCTCCTTTTTGATGACCTACGGACAGCAATAATAGGTTACAAACCGTTATAAACGTAAAGGAACCCTATCCTAATAAAATATTTATGTATGCAGTCCACCTTTAATCACAATCTGCCACCAGAAAAATTAAGTTTTGGGGATATTGGGGTGTTTAACTTTATTTAATCTCCATTGCCAATTATTTTAACTATTTTAACTTATTGAGACTATTGAGTCTATTGGGTTAGGAAAGTTGAAGTTAAGCATAATTGGCTGTTTAATTATTAAAATAATTAGTATCACTAGGTACTTTTGTTTAGACTTTCCGCCCTTTTTTTGAACCTCCAGGTTAAGTTCGTTTCTTTAGGATAACTGGACAATTTAAAATAATATATTTTATGCTTCTCATCTATTCATCGTTCACCATGAGCTGGCCTAATAATCTAAAACAAAAGGACTGAAACGACCACCTAACCGACCAGTTTTAAGAAGACATTTTGATTTAATAAGCTTTTTATTATTGGGCAATGGAAATAATTTTTTAAGATATGTATCGAGCATTTTTAATGTCTGTACTTCAAGAGCGAAATATCTTATCTTTTGAAAAATGTTCTTTAAGTACAAGTAAACTCACCTGTCCCTCGTCCTTCTTCTTCACCTTTATGGGGCTGCTGTCCTCGATGTCCTCATCCAAACTAACACTAGATGCCACACTGGAGTCGGCACTGATCACATTCGAGGCGGAAACGGTGGTGCTGCCCATCAGGTTCGATGAGATGCCCGTTTCCAAGGATGAGTTGGGTGTTACTGAGGATTTTGAAAGTGTTATTTAAAGTATAAATGATTTGCATTCCTATTTATATCCTAACTTACGACTTCCAGCACTCGGATTGTTGTTGGTGGCGCTCGGGGTGTTGTTGTTGTGGCCCCGGGAATTGGACGTGGAATCGGGAATATCGTCGGAGGGCAGTTCGCAGCCTTGACACGATTTCTTCGAATTGGAGTCTGCAGTTCACGGGAAGGTAAGATAAAAGCAAATCAGTAGGTATATAGCCACGAATATTGATGATTTGTTTTCGCAAGTAGAGGATTGAGGCTAGAGGGAAGCGTCGAGAACCAAAGTCGGAACTCTCACGCGAAAGGGGTTAGCACGTCGAGGGCCGCCCTGCCAAAAGTCGTTCCGACCCATCCCATCCTCTGACAATGATTGATAAGCTACACCATCTCGTACTTCTGCGTAAAAGCCTCAAAAACGAAGCCATGCATAACCGAAAAAGTAAAAGTGGAACAACTTGTTGGCAAACTCCAAGAGCGAGTTCAAATTTTGGTACAGTTTTCTTTGGTATATGAATTCTTTTGGGTCATTCAACAAACTCAACTGTCTAAAATGTTAGTGTTTTTTTAGTAACAATTTAACCATTCCTGTTTATAGATTATTGTTTTGTTTAAACAAAATTTAAACATGAAAAACTCTCTAAAAACTTTAAATTTGTATTTCTTTGGTATTTAAAGGTAAACGTAAGAGTGAAAATCGTAGAACATTACATGAAAGGGATTTTATAATTTATTTAATTAAACAATTTATAAATGCACTAAGAATACAATTTTTCTAAAACTTGATTGAAAAAAATTCTAATAAATTAAGGTAATTTCTTGGAAGAGTATATATTTTCAACAATTGTCACGGTTACTTCTTAAGTTGTTTTGTGTTAGATATCAAATATTTCCTGAAAAAAGTTCAGTTATGTGCTGTCTAGATACTCGACTTTTTAACTTAAGGTTTTCGGTAATATTTCAATATTCCACAACACATTTTAATCGATTTGCAGTCAAAATAATCCGTAACCCAACTTAGTAGTACAACTTATGGACTAGAGGAGTGTGAATATTTGGTTTACTTACTACTATCGGACTGATCATCGTCACCTTTGAGGCTGTCCTTGTTGTCCTCGTCGTCGGTCTTCGAGAGCGTTTGCCTCTTGTGCTTCATGCGACGGTTTTGGAACCAAACTTTTACCTGCAACCAAGATGGAATTAGTTCGACTTCCGTCAAGGTGTGTGCAATTAAAGTGGGAAAATCGAGGGAAGAACACACAGCCCTTGCCCACAAGCAATTTGTCAGCGTAATAATGGCATTCTCCGGCCATGTGCGAGTGCTGCGGAATAAATTGCATTGCGGAGCACTCACCTGTCGCTCGGTCAGGTCCAGACTGGCTGCTATTTCGATCCTCCTTGGGCGGCATAAATATTTATTGAAGTGGAATTCCTTCTCCAGCTCCAGCAGCTGGGTGTTGGTGTACGCGGTGCGGAGTCGTCGGGGCAGGCCGTTTTCTGGAACGAATTCAGCTGCAATTGAGAAATTGCATTTTGTTCGTTTGAGACTTGCAGAGTGAATGTGAATTTTTTCGATTTCTTTATTCTTTATTTGTTCTTCGGGGTTCCGGGTTCGCCCTCCAACATGTCCCATTGTGGGCGTGGCCCTGGTACATACGTCAACATATTGCATTCGCAGTGAGACTTGTGTTTCAAGGATTCCACCTCTCTATCTCCGCCCGTAATCAATCTATCTGCTCGTCAGAGGGCATAACTAATTCAGCGAAATTCACCCAACTAGATAAGAAAACTTTCAGGATTCTCCTGCGTACATATCTGCCAAAAAGTGCAGCTGATGCCGCGCGGTAAGCTCCTCGTCTTCAGCGTTTTCCTTCGCCGCTGAGACGCGACACTAGCAGCTCGAGCGTTAAGTAATTAACAAAAATCTAATCAATCAATCAGTGAGAGAGCGACGTGCCCACAGCAGGGCTCTCAAGTAGTTTGGCTTCCGAACAGAAGCCCCCTGGAAAACAGCTGCCAGGGGGAGCGGGGAAAAAACTTAATTTGAATAACAAACAGAAAATTATTTTCACTTTTTAACAGCCAAAAATGTTAATTAAATGGAATCGATGATTTAAAATTAAATAACTCTCCATTATGGTTACGAGATAAAGAATATTTTGTACCATTTGCATTTACTACCTTTTTTTTAACAGAGATAAGATAAGAGATAAGGACCAAATTTATTTTGGAGATAAAGTTTAAATTAATAAAAGCATCTTAAGCAATAAGGCTTTTCAAAATAATTCTTTTAAAGATCATTTGTTTATATTGATTATTGATTATATTGATTACATCTCTAGTTTAAAAACCCACTTAATTTCAAAAAAATTTTAGATTTGTTTTACCCTTCTCGGTATTTGGATAAGGTTAAGTATTTGAAGCTAAAGGTTATAATCATTTTCAGATGCAATTATAAAAATGGACTTTGAGTATGTTTTTAAAAGTCGAAAGTAAATCAAATTAAAAGCCATTTATCAATCGAATTAAACTGAAATGCTTTTTTTCTAGGCCTGTCTGCAAGTCCTCTCAAAAACCAAAATAAAATCTCTCCAGGTATCAGGTGTTAACATGTTATCAGGAAGTCTAATTATATGGGATTGTTACAATGAAAAACTTTAAAACAGGTCTTCCCAGGGACTTTCTGAAAATTCAATAATAACGGGAATCATGGACAACATTTTAAGGAACTGGAATTGGTTTTGGCTTGTATTTTTTGATATAAAGTTCAAGGACTTAAAAACTTTTCAGCTTTTTTATAATCTATTAATATTTATTTTAAAATCCAATCCTCCCAAAAAACCTCTTAACTACTTTCGCTGAACAGTTTCTAATGATAGAGATCAGCAAAGTTATTTCTGCTCCAACGGTCTGGCACATAAACTCAGGGAAAATAAATTTCCTCAAATAAAACTCGCATTGAGTAGTAAAGAAATGCGCATATCATTTTAGGAAACTGAACATTTTGCTACCTTTTCTTGCCGTCGAACTTCTGCCACCTTATTTGCATTGATGCGATTGCAAAATATTTTTGTATTTTTTCGCCAGCTCGCCTTTTGGCAACAAGCACGAAATTTCCAGCTGAACGAGCTGCGTAAACAGAGTCTCAATAGCGGCAAATGGCGAAAGGAAAAGGATCCGGGCAGGAGAAGGAGCAGGACGAGGAGCAGGACGAGGAGCCAGACATAGACACTGATTGAATTACAGATGCGAGCCCGAGTTCCTTCATCAATACTCGCAGAGCGGATGCCATAAACACCACCTGGTGGGGCACACAGCATACAGCTCCCATTTCCCATTTCCCAGTCCCACTTTGTGCGAAAAGTGCCCAGATACAGATACGGAATGAAAGCATAAATTTCGCACAAAAGTTGCACCCGAAAACTGTTTACGAGCGAACTGGAGGCAGCCAACGGCAGCCAACGAAAACTGAAAAGTAAAGTGCACAAAAGCAGAAAATATGATTTCCTTTTTGGCGACGACGAGCAAAAAGATAATTTTCTAAACCCGAATCGAGCGGAGGGCGTGGCAGTGCCAGAGGGGCGGTGGACGGAAGGGGGGAGAGGGGAATGGGAATGGGAAAGATGCTAGGCAGCCAAGTAGAGTGCAATTTCTGCAGCCTGGTCAAAATGGAATCCAGCCTTCGCCACACAGCCAACTCCCCAAATGACAGCTGGCTGGTTTTGGCCTTTCTAGGTGGCTTGGAAATTACAAAATGAATTTTGTTTTGTCACGGCCAGAGGGCTGGGGAGACATTGGAAATGTCATCAGCATGGATGAAATGCCGGAAAAGTCAAAATGGAAACTTATCAGCAAACTACGAGCGAAGGATACTTTGCAGCTGCCTTTGGATTAGGTTACGAGCCACTGTTTTCGGTGGGCGGGAAGGAGCGCCTCAAGTTTAATACTGGCAATCATCACTTGGTTATTATTTGCTCGTAAATCTTCGTGTTGGGCTGCAAATAAAATTAATTTCAATGGCCAAGCTAACGGGAAGGAAACGCTTCTGATGATTTACAGCCCCTGGCATACACTTATTAACTGCTTCAACAGCATCATTTACATGTTAACACTTAAACGCACTCGTTGTCCACCAACAGGACCTTTCTTTCGCCACCTCTCCTGCTGAAGGACAGGATTTATGTTTATATTTCGGGTTGAACTTGCCCACATAAAAACACAAGGAGTCCGAACAGGAAAGAGTTTGGTCAAAAGCGGAACATTTAACGCATTTGCCGCTCCTTGGGCTAAAATTAAAATGAGCGTAAATTTTGCAACAATTGCACAAATGGTCAAAGGTAGCCGGATGTTCACGTTTTTTGCTAAAACGCATAATATAATCAGTACACATAGAGAAAAGTGGCCTTAATATACTCATTTCATTTAACTGACAACATCCTAATTATTTTGTTTGGTTCTAGATAAAAAGAAATAAACAAAAAGTCAATAACTTTGCCTAACCCTAATATGATTTAATTTTATGTATTAAAACACCTTATTTTAAAGCATGCCATTAAAAATCCCGTTCTTTAGTAACAAAGTTATGTTAATTTTTTTTAATTGAATACCCCAAAGTTTAAAGTTGAAGATAAAAATTTTGTAAGTCCACTTCCGTTAAGAGTTCATATAAAACCAGTAGTCTTATAATATTTGTTTTTAGATGTTTTTTAATGTGTTTCATTGTCAAAGTCAGACTGCTGGTTATCTTTTCCTTTTAGTGTACCTCCCATCTAAATCATCCGCTTTCCAGTCACATGGCAGGGAATTTTCAGAATGAATTGTACACTCGTGGCTGTTTGCCCAACGCTAACTACTCGTGCATACTTACGTAAGTGGTTGGGAATGGGCCATTTTTTGGGCTCGACCATCTCGACCACTTGCACATGACCGCAGTCCATAAGGATGCACATTAAGGACATTTGTGGCCGGTCAACAAGGTGGACCCGGGCCCGAACCCGAACCCGAACTTGAACCCGGACACCGGACTGACCAAAGGTGGCCACTGGCAAAAAATGACCTCAATTTATCTTGTAGGTTTTGGTCGTCGCTCTAGCCGGGTATGGGGAACTTTTGCCTTGACTTGGCCTTAAATTATGTGAGCGCTCTGCGGTTGAGCGACAACGAACTGGCTGAAACTTTAAAGGCCAGGCGATAAGCTCAAGTATCCGCAAGTACCGAGGCGAATTCAATCAAAAGAGGGGGGAGCCGGATCCAAAGTCACAATAAAAACTGGGAGACAATGCCGAGGCGAGGCGACTCAGTAGCTGAAAACGCCAAATGCTGATGCGCGATGCAGTAGAAATTCTCATTCAGCGGCACAAAAAGATACAGATACAGTCGGAGCAACAGCTACAGATACGAATGTGTAGCTGCTGGATGTCTTTCTGTTGCCCCTGGTGTGGGCCGACGAATGCGCAAAGAGCAGAACCATTAATCATTCCGGCCAAAGGAAGACAACAGCCAACAGACATCTGACGACGACGTCGTGCAATGGAAAAAGTCAATTTCTCATGAAAACATTTTGTATCTGCATCCACTTGATATGCATTCAAACTAAACCAGCTCAGGCCAACTTAAAAGCGAACTCTACAAATAAATATATATTATTGCCCAACATTGTACATATAGAGGATATAACCAGAGGAAGCCCGGGTTGAGTGTCTTCAATCATTTAATTGTGGGACTGATTGACAGTTATGCGAAAAGTATAACAACACCCCGAATGGCTGGGTCCTTTGGCCAGGATTAGTTTTAATTAGCGGGCAGGAAAAGGGTTGAAGGGGGTGGTCGGAGATCAGACCACAGAGGTCCCAAACCAGGCATTGGTGGCCAGACAAACATTTCCGCTTTCTTTTCACTTTGCCCAACTTACTTTAATGCCATTACCACCACCGACCGAAGCTGCCACAGTCGAAAGATAAATTAGAGAAATATATTTAATGACTTTTCATGACCAGCAAATGTCAACAATACGAAACATTTACAAAAACGGGGAAAACAAATTCAACGAAACTAAACCCTCAGGATTGTTGATCAGGACAGGAGGTGAATGGGAGAGGACAGTGTTTTGCTCTGCTGGAGGTGTGAAAATTTTTGATTAATGTTTAAATATTTGGGAAAATATTTATACCCAAGATGAGGCAAGTCAGGTCAGATCAGATCGATTATAAATTCCCCAGATCACCTTCACTTGTCTAGTGAAATAAGTAAAGTTGGATTGCTATTTGGTTGCTTAAATTTTTATTTATTAATCCAATAAATAAAAAAAGCAATTGTTGTTTCCAAAAATCAAACGATATTTTCTATTATTTAGATATTTGCAAGTTGTAGTAAGCCAAATTAAAAAGCATTGTTGTCTAATAATAACGCTTATTTTATGCTTTTGTTTGGCGATTTTATTATTTTGAGTCTTCAATTATTTTTCATTTTCTGTAAAATTTACAAAATACATATTATTAAAATATAATTATATA